AAGGTGGAGTGTCTCAAGAGTAAGGGAAAGTCTCTGATTACTCATGAAGAGGAGACTACAGACTCAGAAAGTGATGGCGGAGGAGAGGATCTGTCAAACTTTGTGGCTTTTCTTGGAGTTATTGAAGAGGAAGGTCAAGAAGTGGATAGTGACGGAGAGGAGGTCACTGAAGAAGAACTCTTTAAAGAAATGACTAAGCTGGTGCATATGAATAAACAACTTATCAGTGAAAAACAGCAACTGGAGAAAGAACTCAGGCAAGCTCAGATGCAACTGACAAGGACACAACAAGAGCTGACTCAGAAAGAGGAGGAGGCATCTAGTATGAAGTGTCAATTGGAAGAGACCAAGAAGAATCTCCATCTTCTTGGTAGTGGTACTGGGAAGTTGGATCATTTGCTTGGTTTAGGCCGAAGTTCAGGTGATCACTCGGGACTTGGATATCAAGGGCATACAAAATCTAGTTCAAAATTTGTATCTGGAGGAAATCTGACTCAAGAAGTGCCCTTGCCAAAGTATAGAAGTTCACAACCACAACAACCTGTGTGGAAGCCAGCCTACAATCGAAGGGAAAGTAGAACCTGCTATCACTGTGGAAAATTGGGACACATTCGGAGGAATTGCTTCTATTTGAAACAAAACAGAAGAAACTCGAGGTTCATTTCGTCATCCTACAACCCTCCAGTTTGGAATCTCAAATGGATTCGAAAGTCTGATCTGATGTGTCATGTAGCTTATACTACTGAAAACTGTGACAACTCAGGAGTCTGGTACCTTGACAGTGGTTGTTCCAGACATATGACAGGGAATCAAGGTATATTGAGAGATTTTGTAGAAACTCAAAAAGGAGGAAGTGTCACTTTTGGGGATGGCAAGCAAGGTCGAATTCTAGGTAAAGGAACTTTACACTGTGATGGATTACCTAGACTGACTGATGTTAAAGTCGTGCAGGGGCTGAAAGCTAATCTGATTAGTATCAGTCAGCTCTGTGACAGTGGGATCCGAGTTAAGTTCACCAAGAATGCCTGTTTTGTAACGGATGAGGCAAACAAGTGTGTGTTGACTGGGAGAAGAAATTCTAACAACTGCTATACTTGGGTTAACTCAGAAAGGATCTCTGGACAGAAGTGCCTTATAGCCAAGAAAGATGAGCTGAACCTGTGGCATCAACGACTGAGACATATTAATCTGCGAACCTTGGTCAAGCTATCTAAGTCAGGTGTTGTTCGGAATCTTCCAGAACTTTCTCACAGTGACAAGTTTGTCTGCAAAGCTTGTCAGCTTGGTAAACAAGTTCGCATTCGACACAAGAAAACAAAGGAGATACATACATCACATATCTTGGAACTTGTTCACATGGACCTGATGGGGCCAATGCAAACAGAAAGCTATGGTGGCAAGAGGTATGTTCTAGTTTGTGTTGATGATTATTCCAGATTTACTTGGGTTCGTTTCTTACGAGAAAAATCAGAAGCCTGTATAGCTATACAGCATCTAGTTCTTCAGCTGAAAAATGGAAAGGGTATGGTACAACGCATTCGAAGTGATCATGGTAGAGAATTCGACAATGATGCGTTTCAACGATTCTGTGACACTCATGGTATATCTCATGAATTCTCAGCACCTAAAACACCACAACAAAATGGTGTAGTAGAGAGGAAGAACAGAACACTGCAAGAGATGGCACGATCTATGTTGCTAGCTAGGGATGTGGCCACTTGGTTCTGGGCAGAGGCCATGAGCACGGCTTGCTATTTAATTAATCGGATTTATCTTCGACCTGGCATGACTAAAACTCCTTATGAGATTTGGAAAGGGAGAAGTCCACCTCTCAAGTATGTTCACATCTTCGGATGCATCTGCTATATCTTGAATGACAGAGAATACTTGGGTAAAATGGACGCAAGAAGTGATGAAGGACTATTTCTTGGGTATGCTCAAAACTCTGCGGCTTACAGAGTATTTAATCTGCGTACTAAGACATTGATGGAGTCTGCCAACGTCATTTTTGATGAAGAAATGGTACAAGAATCTAAAGAAGTTTTTCTTCCTCCACTTGGTGATTCTCAGAACTCAGAGCTATCTCGTGCTGAGTCAACACCATCTGAGAAAATCGACACTGACGATTCATCATCTGATATTGATCCTGTTGAAGACTTGAGCATCAATACGACTACGCCAATCTCAGTTCATCGGAATCACTCTGCTGGAGACATCATTGGTGATATTCATGCCTCTCGTCAAACAAGAGGTAAACCAAGGATTAACTACAAAGACTTAGTTAGGTTTACCTGTTTTAATTCTCAAATCGAGCCCAAGAAAGTGTGTGAGGCATTGGAAGATGAGTTTTGGGTTCGGGCCATGCAAGAGGAGCTAGAACAATTTGTCCGCAATGATGTATGGGTCTTAGTCCCACGTCCTCAGCATACAAATGTTATTGGGACCAAATGGGTGTTCAAGAACAAGTCCAATGAGCTTGGTGAGATAGTTCGCAACAAGGCTCGGTTGGTGGCTCAGGGATATACTCAGGTTGAAGGTGTTGATTTTGATGAGACTTTTGCACCCGTGGCTCGTCTCGAATCCATCCGCTTGCTCCTTGGTGTTGCTTGCAGTCTAAATTTCAAGCTCTACCAAATGGATGTTAAAAGTGCTTTCCTAAATGGGATCCTGCAGGAGGAAGTATATGTCGAACAACCCATTGGCTTTGAAGATCCTCATCATCCTGATCATGTTTTTTGCCTGAAGAAAGCATTGTATGGACTGAAACAAGCCCCTCGGGCATGGTATGAGAGGTTAACCTCGTTCTTTGCAGTCTAAATTTCAAGCTCTACCAAATGGATGTTAAAAGTGCTTTCCTAAATGGGATCCTGCAGGAGGAAGTATATGTCGAACAACCCATTGGCTTTGAAGATCCTCATCATCCTGATCATGTTTTTT